GTCATAAAAAAGACAATAAAAAAGAAAATAACCAAAATGGATGTCAGAAGAGATCTTGAAATTTGCTCTAGAGTGCAGAGTAGAGAAAGTTAACCAAAGAAATGAAGAAGTAAAAGATTTAAACAGAAAATCTCAAAAAGCAGCTTGAGAAAACAAGGTAATGTATTATGATGAAATATGCAAAGACCTGCAATTAGAAAACCAAAAGAGAATATGATTGGCATTTCTCAAGCTAAAAGAACTGAAGAGAAAATCGAAGCCTTGAGTTGCACTACTGAAGAATTCTATAGCGAAAATACTGAGTAACACAGAGAGCATCGAAAGAAGATGGAAGGAACATACAGCATCACTGTACTATATATACTACAGAGTTGGTTGACATTCAGACATTTCAGGAGGTAGCTTATTGCAGTGTAGTAAATAACATGGTAAGACTTTGCTAGCCATAGTCATTGTAACTCCCACTTTGCCATGAGCAACTGAGTAGCTGCTTGTTAAAGTCATCCACCTGGGGCAGCAAGTAATCTGGGAAGTTCACCTCTCTCAGGTGTGTAGAATTACAATGTTGGGATTGGTTACTTTTGCCTCTCTGCCAGGCTTAAAATAAGCCCTCTTAGAGGCAGAAAGGATTCTCTCTGACTGCCAGCTGAGAGACTGGCAGACTGTACTGCTGAGAGAAACACACTGCTGAGAGAAACGTGTGGCTGAGAGATAGTGGCAGTGGAACCAAAGGCATGAGAAAGAGTGGCAGACATACCTGGCCCACAGAGGAAGAGGCCAGGCTGAGAGGCCAAGGGCCAGAGAGGTGTGTCTAAGGGCATAGCAGAAGGAAAACTGTCCTGACTGAAGAACTGTCTCCTGAGCATGTTCCTGAACTTGAATTGTATGTAGTCTGTTGCTTTCCTAATAAACCCCATAATCTGTGAGTTTTATGTGGCCACTGTAGCGAATTATTGAACCTAGCAGAGAGGTGGTGGGTGCCACAGGAGAGGGATGATTGGTGTCAGGGTTGTTAAGAGGCCTGAGTGACATCATATCTGGACTCATAAGAACAGGCCTGGGGCTGCTGATGGTAATTCTGTTTTCCTCTTGTGAAGTTAGAGAAAGTCAGAAGATGCCACCTCCCTGCCCCTTTAGCAGTTGGTTTCAGAAGTGGTGTGATCCGTTGCAGTGACTCCAGACTCACAGAAGCATGTTGTTGCTATTGTTAGGTGCCATCGAGTCATTTCTGACTCATATTACCCCATGCACAGCAGAACGAAACACTGCCCGATCCCATGCCAGCTCCATGATCCCTGCTATACTTGAGCCCATCATTGCAGCCACTATGTCAATCCATCTTGTTGAAGGCCTCCCCCTCTTTCATCGACCCACAACCCTACCAAGCATGACATCCTTCTCCAGGGAATGGTCCCTTCTGA